GAGGCTTCTGTTTCTTCCGACAATCTACAGCTTTATGGCCCACTTCTCCGCAATATAAACACAAGTTTTGTTCAAACCGTCGCTTCCTTTCCTCAGCTGTGAGGGGTTTGAAACGTACCGCATCAATTTGCATGGGTTCAGGATCTGTGGAGTGATTCTCTGGACCTTTTGAAAATGTAGCAAATGCTCCATCATTTCTCCAGCCTGATCGTCTTTCTTGTCGTAATTCAAAGAGGCGGTTGTCACAAATAATTGCCTGAGATATAAGTTCTTCTAAAGTATCCGCCTTAGGCATGGTGATCAATAAGTTCTTGACATCATCTCTCAGTCCATATCGAAATCGTGTCATGAACGCCTTATCATTCCAATCAAGGTCACATGTAAGCTGTTGAAATTCTGCAGCATAGATTGCAGCAGAACGTGATCCTTGTCGCAGATTTTGTATCTTTCTTTCAGCCACTCTTTCTCGATCACTATCTCCAAACGCAGCAGTAAGTCTCTCTATGAAAGCCTCTAGGTCGTACAATATTGGAGAATCCTTCTCCAATAGTAGAGCAAACCAAGAGCGAGCATTTCCTGATAGAAGAGTACCTATGAAAGCAACCTGGGTAAATCCATTCGGATAACGAGAAGGGTATAGGCGTAGGTAAAGCCGTACTTGTTGCACAAAACCTCGAAAGTTGGCTCTTGTTCCGTCAAACTTGTCTGACATACTCGCTTTTGGTTCTTTCGTACTAATCCTTGAAGTATCTATAGGGGTCGTATGTGACACATGTCTTGCTTCTCTCAGTCGAATAATCTCTTGTTGTAGGCTATGAATTTCGCGTCTAGCTTCTTTGGTCACTAGATCAATTTGAGGTTCTTTACTTGGATTACGAAGAAATGTAATCTCCTTTTGTACACTATTCATAAGAGCTTGAAGATCTGCAAGAGTTGCCACTCTATTGTCTACTTGTGGAGATGCACTATCTATGACCTTGTCTAATTCCATATTTAGAGAATAGATGGATTAAAATTTTGAGAGAAGAAGAAATTGCTAAGTCTCTTGGAGAAAATTGTAGCACTACTTGTCACTAAAACCTACTCGGAGAAAAGGAAAAAAAAAAAAAAACACTAAACGATTTCAGTTTTAGAGGAGGGTAATCTGCAACCTCTAAAAATGCCTCAATGCTTTCGAGAAGAGGGGTAATCCGCACTCTATCAAGAAAGCAAAGCTCTGAAATCGATGTTAACAGTCTTTTCTACTAGCTATGCTAAACAAAAAGAAGGAATTAATATCAGTCCAAGAGAGGGTAATCCGCAACCCTTAGAACGCTCAAGTATCTCCAAGGAAAAGGGTAGTTCACTCTCTGCCTCAAAGAACTAAGCTTTGATATTGTGATTGAGAAAATATCAGTTTAGAGGAAGGTAATCCGCAACCTCTAAAAAATGCTAGTATACCTTCAAGTAGAGGGGTAATCCACACTCTACTAAGAAAGAACTAGCTCTGATATCTCAAGTTAGTGTAGTCTTGACAAACTGTCACGGACACAAAATACAGACTTGAAATCTAACAAGAAGTTCAAGAAGAAGTGGCAGAACTAGATTAAACAGATGAGTACAAGAACAACACCAGAAAGGTGAGCTAGAACTCCAAGAGATGTGTTGTCGAGACTGAAGAACTCTTCAGCCTCGACTCCTATATATACTACTGGCCTATGGTTCTAAGGAAGCGCATCAAGAAGCTTCCCAAGAACTATGAAGCTTCTCGAGCAACTACCCAAGAGCTAGAAAGCTTCTCAAGTAACTTCCTAGAATCTACTAGAATATTCTAAGAATCTTCTATAGCCTTCTAAGGGAATCTTTAGGGAATCTTCAAAGAATCTTTAGGAAATCTTTGAAGAATATTCTAAGAGAATATTCAAGGAATCTTCTGGAAGTTTCTAGAGACTTCTTTCTAGAAGGTTCTAGAAACTTGTCTCTAGAAAGGTCTAAGGACTATGTCCCTAACATCACCTCCTCCTTTAGCTTCAAGGTCTCCGAGATGCAATGTTATCGTCAATCAATGTCTTGGCCATTCTAAGAGAAGGACAGAAATGACTCTACAAGAAGACAATATTGGTTTAGAGGAGGGTACTCCGCAACCTCTAAAATGCCTTAAGAGCTTCAAGAAAAGGGATAATCCACTCTCTCCAAGAAGAATAAGACTCCAATATTGTAACAAAAGAAGTATCAGTTTAGAGGAGGGTAATCCACAACCTCTAAAGTGCTAGTACACTTCCAAGTAGAGGGGTAATCCACACTCTAACAAAGAAGAAACTAGCTCTGATATCTGAGGTGAGTGAAGTCTTGACAAATTGTCACGGACACAGAAATACAGACTCGAGATCTAACAAGAAGTTCAAGAAGAACTGGCAAGAACTAGATTAATCAGATGAGAACAACACCAAAGAGGTGAGCTAGAGCTCCAAGAGATGTGTTGTCGAGACTGAAGAACTCTTCAGCCTCGATTCCAATATATACTCCTATTTAGGAAGCTTCTTAAGCAATTTCTACTAACTAAGAAGCTTCTAGAAGGTTCTAGAGACTTGCTTCTAGAAGGTTCTAGAAACTTATCTCTAGAAGGTTCTAAAGACTATGTCCCTAACATCTTCTACCAACTAAGAAGCTTCTAGAAGGTTCCAGAGACTTACTTCTAGAAGGTTCTAGAAGCTTGTCTCTAAAAGGTTCTAGAAACTTGTCTCTAGAAGGTTCTAAGGACTATGTCCCTAACAATTCTTCATCTCTTTCACCTTTTAGTTGTGTTACATGACGACATTAAATTAGTGGAGGAGGATTAGTTATAACAAGGCATGGATAGGATATTTGTATTATTTGTACATAGAAATATGTAATTGGAGTTCCATTTGGGAAGTTTCTAGAATTGAAGTTAAAGTTGTGATTTAGATGGAATCCACTATAGAACCTTATAAAAAGATTTAAGGTGGTTATCATGGTGGGATCCACTTGTAAAATCTTCTAGAAAGGTAGTTATCTTAGTAAAGTCCAGTACTAGAAAAATTCTAGAAAGTTTCAAGATAATTGGACAAAATATAAATAAGACTAGTTGAAGCCATTTGGGACATTTGGTCAAGTATAGCTTTTGATTCTTTCTCTCAATAAAGTTTGATTTTCTTATTCCATTCTATTTGGTTCTATTTGATTTTAGATCTTAGAAAATCTGAGCTTGTTTCAGTAGAGGCTTATAGACAAATACATAGTGGTGGTGGCTTACAATTTGAAGAATACAAGTACCATAATAAGGAAAGCATTACTACAACTAAGTGTTGTCAAGAATTTGCTATGCAAGGCATAGTCTGCAAATTGACGAAAGAAAAAGAGGTAAGATTTTTCAATTCTTAAATAGCCAAAAAGGTATATGGCAAAATCTGCATGGCCTACAATTTGTGCCTCAGATATTGATTAAATATTGAATGTTGGTGATACCTTATCATCAATAAGAATATATTTGCTATTACCACAAATCTGAGGGATATATTTTCTATTAACAAGAATACATAGATATTCTTCATATTTCAACATATTTGAAGAATATATATGATATTTTTCCTAAATTTACAACAAGACTTTTGGTTTGAATATTAAAAATAATAGCTACCATCTTCTATTTTATTATTAAATATTACTTTAATATATTTTAAAAGATTTTTATATTAATTTTTTAATAGCAATATGCTAAAGTAATATTCAAAATATATATATATATATATATATATATATATATATTAGTAACTTTATAAGAGTTTTAAAAATCACAACAATATATATTGTTAAAGTGTGCATCAATATTATTATATAGAATGATATTTCAGCATGTTTTAAAATTTAAAAAAATAAAAATAAAAATAAAAATAAAAAAATCAATATTATTAAACATAATCTTTGGACAACAATGATAAATGATGTATTTTAAGATCAAATTGGATATAAGTTGTGTTTGGATAAACAACTGCAATTGATTTAAAGAGGAAACAACACATATATTCTAATTAAAATTTACTAAAATTTGGTAGAAATATATTTTTACTATTTATTTATATATTAAAACAATGTAACTTACTTCAAAAAGCATCTTCTATTAATTAGAACACACATAGTTTTAAGATAATATTTCAATTTTGTCGTACTACAATAAAAAGAAATATGAAATTTATTTCTTTTTATATAAAATTATAATATTAAGAAAATTATTTAAAGGTTTAGAAAAAACTATAGATGATTAAGAAATCAAAAGAATAGCAAGACTTTCTTAAAACACCTGATTATTAAATAAAGATTTTTTAACTACTTATTTTATAATTTCTAATAGAACATATGACTACAAATAAGATGCTTCTATGCATTGTTTATAGCTTTATTAAAAAATGTAGTTAAAAAATGAATTTTAAGCATCAATATATGAGATTTTGATGAAATAAAATATATTTTAAAAATTCTATTAATCTTAGAACAATGTAGCAAAATTACAAAGAGATTGAATTTGTTAAATCATGTAATGATAAAAGAGTAGTCTTTCCCTTACTATAGAACACTATGGAAGCTGTAAAAACTTATGGATTGAGATAGTTAATATTGAAGTTTTTCCTCATATTATCACCATCTGTTAATAATAAGAATACAAATTTACTAGGATAAATTACACAAAAACCATATTCATTTTTTAAAAAATTAATTTATAATATTAGTTTATATGTATATATACTGTAAGTAATGAATTTTTATTTGATACATTTTTATTTGAATTTATTTTACTTTATTATTTATAATTTATTGTATTTTTATTTATTTATTTAGTTAAAAATGTATTTGAAAGCGAATGAGGAAAGCCAGCCCCGCCCCACCCCCGCGCCCGCCCTTCCCGGCCATCTTCGTCTGTGCCAAGGATGTGCCTGCGTGAGTATGGCTCGCGGCCTTCACTGGCATATAAAGATCTCGCGAACTTGCAAGTAAGAGGCTGAAAATGGGCGTTATCCAGAGCCAGACAATTAACTACCTTCCTTCCTTCCAGGCTGCCAGCGCCATGACCTTCCCTGCCTGCCTGGCTTCCCCCTCCCCTCGTCGACGCCACGACCCTGATCGAATTGGAGCCCAGGAGTGAGTGAGTGAGTGAGTGATTGTGTGAGTGTGTGAGATGGCAGAGTCCCGAGCGATGGCAGCTGCTCAGTCACACCTCCCAATCGTTGTCCTGCGAAGGGGTTTGCCGGAATCTGCCGGAGTGCGCTCGGGGGGAGTACTTCAAGTGCCTGGTCGCAGGCGAGCAGGGTCGTTGATTGTGGCTGCAGCGTCGGATGAGAGCGGGGGGATGAAGAAGGACCCGAGACGCCCCAGTGAGGGGATCTTTAGCTTCGTGACGGACAATGAATCTAGTCGGAATGCAATCCAGCTGCCAAATGCGCCCGCTATGGATGGCAATTTGGGGCAGATGATCACGGTTCGTGTTGCAATATCTTTTGATAGAAATGCATTCATTCCATTTGAAATTTTATGAGAACTAGTGACTGCATGTTGTAGTTGTTTTCTGTTACTGGATGTCACCGAAATTTTCATTCAGATGCTAGCACCTATATGGATTGCACCACCCAGTTTGGAGTAAAATCCATTGGACTTGGACGATGATTCTTGCTCAAAGATTTGGTGAATTCTTCAAGTATGCAAAGTGGAATATTTTCGTGTGAGCGGAGTGGTTGTGGCGGGTTGTGTTTGTTTTTGTCTTTGAAATTTCGAATGGAATCATGGAGACAGCAAATTGAAAATAAGGGAAGAGATTATGGCTCATATTTGCGAGCAGGCGAGTTTCGATGGTGGGTCAGAGAAACAGGTACTCATGCACCACTTGGCCTGATTTTTAATCTCTCAAATCATCAAGACCTTTCCACTGAACTTGAAAGTAATCCAGGAAATGGGAAAGTGCCCACGTTACAAGGCAGATATAGGCTGTCGTGAAGCAAATTCTTTATTTAGATTGGGATGGTCATTGTCATTGTATGAAGAGGTTGAATTTTTCGGTACATTGAATTCTATCAAACCAATCAAGAAGAGATTCTCAGCAGACTATTATCTAGTTCCACCAATATAGCCACCTGTTGCAAACCTGTAAAGTCCTGCTGTGCTCTTTTGCTGCTTTTTTCTTCAATTGCACGAGACTGCATTTTGAGATTATAAAGGACACGCAGGTTCTCGTGACGCAAGGAATGGTACTGTGGTTTTCTTGCATGGTGCACCTACTCAATCCTACAGCTACAGAGTCGTGTTGGAACAGGTTAGCTCTCTTTATTGCCTCTTATATTGCCACGGAAATGTAAATTAGAACGCTTGTTGAATACTATCCAACGCCCACTCATGCGGAGGTTCCTGCAGATGGCTAAAGAAGGATATCATTGCTATGCTCCAGACTGGATCGGTTTCGGATTTAGTGAAAAGCCTCAACCCGAATACGAGTTTTCTTACACAGGTACTCGATTCATTGCCTGAGCACGATATTGACCACGTTTTGAACGTATCATGCACTCATAACTGCCTGTAATCTGAGGTCCATTTGTGTCATACACTAGCAGTGCCCGATGTGTTGCCGAAGAAATTTCATGATTGTCAGTTTCAGTTAGGGATATTGATCCACCCTTGGCCTTCTGATCCACTACTGCAGAGGAAGCTTATCACGAGGAGTTTGACAAGTTACTTGCTAAGCTGGACATTTCATCCCCCTTCTATCTTGTCACTCAGGTATCAGAAACCTATTGTGACTTATTAAACCTCACAGTTTGTTGAATATGCTATCTGTTAAATCCATCTTCGTGTTAACCTTTCTCCAATATTTGTTGTCTCGTTTGGCGTCTGTTGTTTGTTCGTGTATTTCTCACAAAGCAAATAATACTTGATCGTTACTTCTTTTCTGGCTGCCTCATTTCTCCCATGTCAACTCTCGGCAATTTGTACCCCATTGAAAAAATTACTTGTATTTGGAAGATTCAAGAACACATCAGCGACGTAATGAACAAATTCTGATGATCCTATGTTCTCTATCAGGGCTTTATAACGGGATCATATGGCTTAACGTGGGCTCTGAAAAACCCTACTCGGGTGAAGAAGGTTGTTGCAATGAATACACCACTGACACCATCTGCTCCTCTTCCAGGAATATTTCAACAATTGAGGTGATCAAATCTTCCTTTTTGAGGAGTTGTTATCAATAGTAAACATGTTTAACAGAAGATAGTGATATATTTCCACCAGAGTCCTGTCCATGATTTCATTCCATAGTCTAAATTTTGGTACTAGATGTGAATTTGACTCTATATGCTCTGTCAATGTGAATTCTGAAGCTGTTAAAGGATTTCATTTAGGAGGGTTTTGTAACTAATCGAATTAACAATTGTGTTGTATCAAGCATCCAATTCGTTCCTATTCTGGTGTTGAGATCATATTTTTTAATTGTGACAGGTTTCCTTTAGTTGGGGAATTCACCTGTCAAAATGCCATTCTTCCAGAGAGATTTGTGGAAGCTGGAAGTCCGTAAGATACAGCACCTCACCTTCAATCACTGGGATTCTCTGATATGAATGAGTGAAGTACATTTCACTGCAAAACGTTCTAATGTCTATACCAGTTCCTGAAAGCCTTTGAAGTTGCCGAAGGATTGGGCTTGTGGATAACCCTAAGGGGATGTATAATATTGTCTGCAGGTATGTTCTTGAGCTGGATGATGCTGATGTTTATCGTCTTCCATATCTGGACAGCAGCGATCCAGGCTTTTGTAAGCCTCCTTGAATCCTCTAGTCGTTTAGATTATCAGTGACCTGTTAAGTTTCGTATTTATTCGGTGCTGTGTACACTGCTCTATTTCCTTTTCTGCATACTCGAAGCTGTTGGTTTCGTTGGATCACATTTTCGTATCCGTCAATGCTTCAGCTCTTTTAGCTGCGGCTCGAAAGGCTCCACTCAAGGATCTAACCACACGAATCGCTCAAGGATTTGCTTCTTCCAGGTATGCTAAACCTCCCATTGTATTGAGAGATGATAAAGTGGTCACAACGATCCTAGTTCGTGAGGCATCCTCACTGTTGAAATCTGTTTTCCAGTCGTTACAGGAAATGAATATGCAAGGTATCTCACCTTGGAGGCAATCGCAATTTCTTTTGAATGACCTGTTCTGAATGTGTATCATCTGATTCACGAATTTTGGTTCGTGGTACAGTGACCTATTTGTTCGTTTTTGTGAAAGTTTGTTGAACCTATAAATTGCTTGTTTGTTAAAATACAGTTGGAAGGTACCAACGACAGTTGCATGGGGCGTAAGTGACAAGCATTTACCCAAATCCGAAGCAGAGAATTTCGTGAAAACCAACCCCGATGTACTCAAGGCAGTCATGCTTGATGGCACCGGTCATTTGCCACAAGAAGACTGGTATTGCGTCCTTTCGCGCTCTCTCTGAAGCACACGATATGATCTTCGGTAGTTAAGTTCATCTGAGAGTCTTCGTTAGAGGAGGGCTTATTTACATGTTAAACATGCATAGTGTTGAATTTCCATCCATTGCTTATCTTAAATGCTGTTTCCATTGCAGGCCAGAAAAAGTGGTCGAGGCTCTCACAAGATTCTTTTATTAGCCGACTATCTCGATTATTATTCAGAAAAGGCCATTCTTTTGATGCTTTTTCGACATTATAGCATACGTCTTCATATCCATACTTGATATCATTGTGCAGCTCCTCATCTTATTTTACTCATCCTTTTTTCCTTCTGATTTCAAATACTTCAGTATCAAAAGAAGTCGTGAAGTCGTGATTTCAAATACTTCGTCTTTTTTTATAAAAATTATTTAAGAAAAAAAATTGAGGATTCTACAATAAATATATATATATATATATATATATATGATCAAAATTTAATTCTGAAAATATTTTTAATACAAACATAGAATTAAAATTTATTTTTAAGTTTTGAAAACTCTAGTTGTAGTTACAAAAAATATGAATAAAAAGTTTTAAATATATATATATATATATATATATATATATCAAAAATCAAAGATTATACAAATGATAATTTTGTACTTATAGACAAATTACTTTACTGTAAATAATCATTGATTTGATTCCCTAAACTTGTACAATTCTAAATTGTTTAATCACAATACAACTTTCCTACTACAAGTCATTTTGATTTCAAAAAAACAAAAAATTGATATTTATAAACTACAAGTGACTACAAATAAAAAAAATTATATATAAGTGTTTTTAAACTTCTAGTATATGTACTTGAGTCAAGACTTTAAAAGATCAATAATATAAATTTTCTTAAAAATTCATTTAATTGCATCACAAAAATAAAATGATTAATTTCATTTCTTACAAATTCTTCATTTATTAACAAAATGTCAATGTGTTGGTACCATATGCTTGGTGATTGCTTAAGCTCATACAAAGATTTCTATAACTTACAAAGAAGATGTTGTTTGCGTTCTTTAACAAGTCCTTGAACTTGATCTATGTAAATGTCTTTGTCTAACTTTCCATTTAAGAAATCCATCTTCACATCCATTTGATGCATTTTTAAATCCATTGTTGCCCCAATTGTCACAATGATTCTAATGATGGAGAATTTGGCCATAGAAACAAATGTCTCATTAAAATCCAACACCAACAGCTTATGAATATTGTTTGGTATCCAATCTAGCCTTACATCTCACAACATTGTCCATTGCATAATTTTTTGTTATAAGCAACTACTTATAACTAAGAGAAGATTGATTTGCTCAAAGTTGAGTTAATTTTCATGTTCTATTGTCCATAAGTGATTTTTATTCTTCTTTCATAGCCTTCTCCTACTTCATATCTTCTATGGACTTCATTATATTTCATAAACTTAACGGATCAACAAAAAAGGTAATATTAGCATATTTTTTATTTATTTGAATAAAGATGTAATTCTTCTACTATTTATCAAGTTGTTTTTTTTTTTTTTTTTTTTTTTTTTTTCCCATAGGATATCTTCTTTTATTTGATGAAGATTCACCTTCATGCAGTCAAAGGTCTCTTATAATCTTCTTTTCTCTTAAAACTTGTATCTTCAAATTCAAAAGTTGATACTTCCTATCATTATTATCTTCAATATCTTCATTGTCTTCATTGTTGGTTCTAACAATTATAGACACACTTTGATCTATCTTCTTTGGTTCTTTATTTTATTTTTTTATTTCTACCATCTTCATTGTCATCATCATCATCTTCTTTCTTTGTTGAAATTAAAGATGTATCCACAAATACACCATTACTTTCATTTTGACACATCTCCAAATGTTCACAAATATTCTTATATTCCAAAAATTCTACATCATGACTTTTCATAATCTTCTTAGTTTTTAAACATATTATCTATATGCCTTGATACATTCACAATATCCAACAAATATACGTTTTGTACTTATTGCATCAAATTTAGACATCATAAAATTTAATTCTTTTACATAAGCAATGCATCCAAAAGTCATCATATATGAAACAAAAGGTTTCTTGCTTCTTCAAGCTTTTCATAGAGTCATTGATGTGAGTGTACTTGTAGGGCATCTATTCTTTGTATACATTGTATTTATCACAACTTTTGTTAAATATTCATTCTTAAGATTTTATTCATGAATCATATTCCTTATCATTTTTACAATGGTGTAATTTACTCTTTTAAAAACTCAATTTTATTGTAAAGTGTAAAAAGTAGAAGTTTATCTTATTATATCTTAAATCTTGAAGAATTCATCAAAATGCTCTAAAATATACTCACTTCTATTGGCTATGTACAACACCCTGATCTTGCACTTATATTACTTCTTTATAAATACATTAAATTTCTTAAACCTTAAAAAATGTTCACTCTTAGCTTTAAAGATGTAAATCCACACCTTTCTTGAAAAATTATCAATGAATGTGACAAAGTTCCTTCTTACTTCAATTGATGACATCTTCATTTGTCTAAAAATATTTGAATATACAATCTCTAAGAACTTGCTAGCACCTATTGTAACTTCTCTTAGAAATGAAGTCTTTTGTTGTTTGTTTTGGATACAACCATCACAAATAAGTATCATGGCATTGTGGCTAAATTGACTAAGATCCAAGCCACTTACTATGGATTGAAGCTCTTTTATGCTTTTGGCATTCAAATAACTAAGTTATTGATGTTAAATTCTAATATTATCTTGATATATAAAAATTTGGCAAATATTGCTACTTCAATTCTATTCATCTTGATATAATTGATGAAGTAGAGATTGTCATCTCTAAAACCTTTGGCAACATCTTCTCTACTTAATATCTTCACAAAATACCTATTTATATCAAATTAAACTTTACAACCATGTGATACAAGTTTGCTTATCAAAAGAAGGTTCTTCTTTATTTTTGGCACATATAAGACTTCCTTCAATATAATCTTCTTGATTTGATCCTTCACAACAATTTCTACCACAATGGAGCTTATTTCAATGGCTTATACTATTTTTTTGTCTCTCAAATAAACTTTTGTTGTTGGAATTACTTCATAAGTATTAAATAAATACTTGTATAGTATTATGTACTTAGTTGCATCCAAATCTATAATCTACTTGAACATAGCCAACCATCGAGCCTCTTTTACTTGCCATAAAAGCATAGTCATCTCCACCAAAGTTATCACAAGTATCATTTCCATTCTTTCTATTTTCTTTCTTGACTTGTAATAATTTATGACAAAATGATTTGATTTTTTATAAATATGATAATTTTTTATATTAATTTTTAAATTATCATATAGATTAAAATAGCTATTTTTTTTTCTTATCTTGAAAATAGAACCAAATCATCAATTTCAAGCTCCTATTATTTCTTTTTAGTCACTTCATGGAATAGTTTTGTCATTATATAATCCAATATAAGCTCTTTCATCTTGATAGATTTTAATGCTACAATGAGATAGTTGTAGGATTTTAGAAGGTTTATAAGTAATGTAAATATAATATCATAATTGTCAATAAGCTTATCAATAATTGTCATTTGATTTACAAGTACTTTTACCTTATAGATATGGGTAATGAGTTCATCTCTTTCTCCCATCTTTACCATTTAGAACTTTTTTCTTACCTATAGAATATTTGAAAGATTTCTACTCTTATAGATGTTGCAATGAGTCTTCTATGCTTCCACTAATCCATTATAAGAAATTATATGTAAAAAATTGGCATCATCAAGATTGATTGCAATCAATTCAAAAGTCTTATTTTTACAACATTAATATTCCTTCTTCACCTTGATATTAGTGTTGTCACTTGAAAGCTTTTCACTTTCATCAATAATATCCCAAAGGTCCAATGAAGCTAACAAAAATTCTATTTTTTTCTTCCAATGATAGAAATTATCACTTCTAAACTTCTCAATTACTCTTAAATCATCACTCTTACTTAAAGCCATATCTAGGGAAGACGTATATCAATTAAAATCCTGAAAAAAGTGATAGAGCTTTCAAAATCAAGATAAAGATGTTGTTACTTTAGATACCTAAAATGTATTTTTTATAAGTAAACTATTAATTTCACTCTTTCAAAATATCTTCCATAATCTTTGTTAGTTTTCATTTGCCTCTAATTTCATAAATCACCTCTTATTACTATAAAAAAATCATTTAAGAACTTTAGCACATAAAAATATAATATTAGTACTTCAATGATATAACTTAATAAAAAAAATATAATGCAAATATTCTAAAACATCACTCTAAAGTATTTAACAACCTCTAAGGCCATGTACAAACTTAACAATAAATAAGAGAAAAACTACATCAACAATTAAATGTAAAAAGTAGAATTTAGAAGATACTAAAAACTAACACTTAACTCTTGGCCCTTGACTTCGTCCCTTATTCATAGGATGAATTTCTACATATCAAGAGTCAATCTTTTGACCATTAGTAAGTTATCTAAAGTAATATCCTCTATAAAGTAACTTATTCTAATTTCACTTTTATTTACTTACTTTAATATGCCTCATCAAAAAAAATACAAAAATCATGACTATATTATTTTGCTTCATTAATCATTGATTGATTATTTTGATATGTAATATCTTTGGCATTGCTTGCATCATCAATTTTATCAGTATGTCAAGGGACTATGGAGTAGTAGTAATAGAAAAGAATTTATCTTACAATGGTCTAATAGACTGTTAGAATTTGCTATAGGTATTATTAGCTGGTGCCAAATGAATTCAATTTTTGCAAGTTGTATTTATTTTTAATATTCTTTAAAGTTCTGTTATTTGTCTCTAAAAAAAATCCTATCAAATCAATGTATTCTTAGAAATTTGTTATCTTTGCTTGATGTATTAAGACTATAGCTTGTGTAATTGATGCAAATCTCTATCAAGATTCTATAAAAGTTGTTTATGAATTTAACTTGAATAGGTTAAGATATGGAACTAAGTTAAGTTTTTTGATATGGGAAGATTTATAGTTGAATAGCTTGGATGCTTTTGGAAAGAAAGATATATATATATATATATATATATATATTTCAAAATTCATGTTCAGTAGAATTTATTCTTCATCTTCTAATTCTTAATTCTTTTGTTGGGATGGCTATGCCTCAAGTGGTTGACAAGCCTAATGTTAAGATGGTCCAACCAATATATGAACCCATGAAGATCAAGGAAGAAAAGAAAGAGCCACTGTATTTGCTTAATTTATTGGTTGATTAGTTGGTTCATTCCTTTATTCATTGTTGCAGTTTTC